ACCATATCTGGTGCCAAATGATGTTTTCCATTCATTGCCGGCCTTAATGCGCACTAAATTGTATGCACCTCAAAGGTCAGGTTTGGTGTAGATCTGTGCCCCTTTTAGACAATCAAGCAGTTCAGGGATCAATGGAAGCGGGTAGCAATCTCAGATCGTGATCTTATTCAGTGCACGGTAATCATTGCAAAGGCGGAGATCCCCTGTTTTCTTTTTAACAAATAAGACAGGAGATGATAAGAGGTATGTGGAAGGCCGAATAAATCCACATGCCAGGTTTTTCTCAAGGTAGTCCTGAAGGGCTGCAAGTTCAGGTTCTGCCATGGGATACAAGCGGCCCATGGGTAGCAGAGCATCTGGCATCTGATCAATGGCACAGTCATAAAGCCGCTGCAGGGGCAGTTCATCTGCCTCCTTTTCGCTGAAAACGTCTGCAAAGGCTTAATAAGGTGTAGAGAGAAGTGAAGCAGCAGCCAGTAGAGTGACTGATGATGGTGGTTCAGGGTGGACAATAGGGAACCAGTGTTCAGGGTGGCTGGATGACAGGAGCGACGAAGAGTGGGCATCAGGAAACTGAAGTTCTTGGTGAACCAAATCTACTTGTGGGTTATGGGTTCATAGCCAGGGAAGAACTAAGATGACAGGAAACCGGGGCAGTCTCATGATATCAAACTTTAATCGTTCTTGATGTTGGTGGACCCATAGGGTGAGAAGCCGAGTTTCGTGGACCACCGGTCCAGAGCAAAGTAATCGTCTGTCAATGGCTTTGACTAGAGCCGGGGTCTTTTTTTCTTGTGTTGGAATGTCATGTTGTTTTACAAAGAGGAGGCCCATGAAACAACAGACTGCCCTTGAATCTAGCATGGCGTGGTTAAAAAGCCATCTGCCATCGGGGAGTTGTAGTTTCACAGGCACCAAGAATGGTGCTTGTTCAGGAAATGAAGAGCTGGAAGTCCCTGCTATATGCCCCAAGCCCGAAGGTCCGCTCAGGCCTGGGGCAGCTCTTTTACCTCCGGTGTGGTTGCTTCAGGGTGTCTCCGCTTAGCGGGGCAGCTGGAGGGAAAATGCCCTGCCCCCTCCACAATAGAGACAGAGGTTTTGGGTGCACCATCATGTCTTCTCCTCGGGAGTAAGGCGTGGTCAGGCGACTCCCAGCTACATAGGTTCTCCTTCATTACCAGGAGTGGAGGGGCTGGAAGAGCCAGCCCATGAGGGTGGTCGAGAGACACTAGGCATAGTGGAGCTGTGGCTTTTACTTTGACAGCGACTCTGGAGTCGGCCGTCGATGCGTAAGCACAGATGGATGAGTTTCTGAAGGGTCTTGGGTCGTTCACTCCGGGCCAGTTCGTCCAAAACCTCATCAGACAAACCTTCAGTGTACTGATCCATAAAGGCAGACTCATTCCAGGTTAAATCCTGGGCTATCAGTTGAAACTCGGTGGTATAATGAGCTACAGATGCTTTTCCTTGCTTGAGAGCCCGTATTTTTTTATTAGCAGTGGCTGCCTGTACAGGATTGGCATAAGCAGCAGAGAAATGGGCTTTGAAACTGGGGTAATCAGAGAGTAATGGAGAAGCCCCCACCAACAAGGGAGTAGCCCATTTTGAAGCTTGTCCTTTAAGTAAACTCAAAATAAAGCAGACCTTGGTTTTATCTGTAGGAAAGTCCCAGTTATGGAGCTCTATGTATAGTTCACACTGAGCAATAAAGGCAGGGAACTTGTCTACACTTCCACTGAAACGGTCAGGTGGATTCACAGGGCAGTGTGAGGGTGTCGCAGCAGCTGCAGCAGCAGCAGCGGTGGTGGCTGCTTGATTTTGGAGGGCAAGTACCGCTTGGGTAAGCTGCTGCACTTGGTTAATCACCCCCGTGAGCTGCTCAGACCCGCCTGCTGCTCTGTCCTGCATAGTGTGGACGAGTCAGTTTGTGGTGCTGGCAATCTGTCATGACAGAGCCAGGGGGCCGGGCAGAGAGGGAGAGTTTACAGTTCAGTCCGTGAGTCAAAGCCAGAAAGATTTTAAAAAATGCAGAGCCAGTGTCCCAATACACAAAGCCAAGCCGTAGTCAGAGCGTTACCAAGGGTCAGAGTCCAGAGAAGTGAGTGTCGAATGTCAGGGTGCAGAACCGAGGATCAAGAGCCAGAGAGTCATCAAAACGTGGACTGGATTCAGGAACCGGGAAGTCAGTCAGTACGGGATCTCAGGAACAGTGTCAGAGGTGCAGAGCTTCTCGTCTGAAGGACTAGTTTGCCAGCACGATTTGCCAGCAGTCAGTGACCTGATCAAATAGCGTGCTGGGTCGTTAACTCATCAGCACTGCCTTGCGAAGTCCTTGATTCTGCTAGAACTCCGGGCTCATTGTTCTCCGACCGCGCAAGCGTGCCTCCTTGCATCTAGTTGCCATGTCCCAGTGTCTCTGATTCCTCAGCCGGTCGACAGGTGGTGGAGAATCAGGTGGTGTACTGCTGGGGCCAGGCACTGCCTGATCGGCTTCAGGTGCAAGCTGTCCTGGGGTTTGGTATTCATCCCCTCCAGCACTTAGGTTTGGCAAGGACTCTCATACCTCTGATGTTAAAGGCACGGAGTCCTCCTTTTCAGGGCTCCCAGGTGCCGGATCGGGGGCAGGAATGACAGTTAGCAACATCTGTCTCACCAATCATTGATGTCCTGATCTCTGGCTTGAAGCCTGTATCCAATGGGGTACTTGTTTCCAGATGGCCATCTCATATATCCCAGTGGAGTCCAGGCATTCCAATGGGGTTGCTATAGTGCTGTTTTGGTGTTGCGTTATAGCGCTATAGTGCTATAGCGCTCTAAAATTAACATTTTTTTTAAAAAAAAAGATGGAAATCGCCCACGTGGGTGAAAAAGGGCAGGAAAAAGTGGTGCAGTCTGAAATGCCAAACCGCTTCAGCGATGGCTCTTTACCGGTATTGGAAAGGTTTGTGTGAAATGGCAGCCCTGTACCGGTTTACTCCAAGATGGATCAATAACGGCTTAAAACCGGCTTAAAAAGGGTAATGTGAAATTCCCCCAAGTCAGAACAGATGTGAGAGATTTTATCTGCAAAGTGGTGAGCAATACAGCATGCCATTGAGCAGTCAGCCTCCTCCTGCAAGCCTCTGACCATCCAGAACACTTCTGCTGGCCTACAGTGTGCAGGTGGTGGGAAAGTGTTCTTTCTTTGCTGTCATCATTATCATGGAATATACTTTAAAATCAGTTTTGCCCATGTCCTATCGGATTTGGCCTACTCATCTTCCACTGTTGCTTTATCTGTCTCAATTGTCTTTTTGTTGTCTGCAGCCCCTTCATAAACCAAGGGGCTACCTGGTTGTCCATGCCAACTGCCCAGATCATTTCCTCATTCTGGAGATCAACCAGGGCATTGGGTGGATCATCTTAATAAATCTCCCACCCTTGCATAGTTTTGGTTTCCCTGTAAGTCTAAACCCAAGCAGGTAGTGATTTGCCTGTGATAAAGAAACCATCATCAATTTCTCCACCCTCAGAAAACATTCATCCTACCCAGAACAAAATACCAGATCAAGAATGTGACCAATACGTAAGACCAGTTAGTACCTGAGACAGGCCCATGGTTGTCATGAAGGCCATGAAATTCAGAACTCTTCCTGCCAAAACAGCCTTGGCATGAATATTGAAGTTCCCCAAGACAGCCAGCCTAGGGGCCCTCAACACCATCCCCGAGACCAGCTCTGTCAGCTCAGGTAGGGAGACAGGCAGCAGGGTGGGTGGTTCATAGTAGAATCCCCATCCTGTCCCTCAGTCCCAGCATTAGCTACACAGCCTCAAAACCAGTAGCATTCTGGATGGGGCACTTGTAAACTACAGCAACTCTGTGCCTGACAAACCTATGCTGATGTATCATGAAGTGCCCTGGAGAGCACAACTGAGAGAGATTAACCCCTGAAGTAACTGACGTCTTTGTGCTTGGATTTTAACCAAGTTAATCCCAATGAAGGCATGGAAACTAGATCCCCTTCCCTTCTTTTCTTTGTCGTTTATGTAGTATTATAAAAAAATTAAAAAATCCCCTCCGGGGGTCTTTAAAAAAAAACTAGATCAGTTTAGAGAGCCTCAACAAGTACTTATTTTCAAAAGGTCTGAGGGTCATACTGTGCATGTATAAATTGTATAAGTAAATAAGTAAATGTAAGAGAAAAGAAGGAGGAGGAGATTGGATTTATACCCCACCCTCAATTTGGAGTCTCAGAGTGGCTTATAAACTCCTTTCCCTTCGCCTCCCCACAACAGTCGCCCTGTGAGGTAGGTGGGGCTGAGAGAGCTCTGACAGAAACTGCTCTTTTCAAGAACACCTCTGACAGAACTATGGCTTGCCCAAGGTCATCCAGCAGCTGCGAGTGGAGGAGTGGGGAATCAAACCTGGTTCTCCCAGATTAGAGTCCACACACTTAACCACTACACCCAACTGGCTAAGAGGGCCTTTCATTGTTGATTGGTTGGCAGTTGAAGTAATTTTTGAGGTGAAAATAATTATTTTATTCTGATTATTTTACAACTTTATATTCTGGGTTTTAGAAAATTGATGTATTTTAGAAAACTCCCTTCACTGGAGCAAACGGGCACAAGCCTTTTAATAAATAAATGCATTTATTTAAGAAATAGTTTATACTAACTTACTAACTTTTTGATATCTTAAAATGTTTAGAAGAAAGGGGGAAGGGGGCCCATTTGCTTACTCCTGGAGACTATGGGAACTGTATGGACAAAAGCTTAATGAGACAGAGTCTGCAATGAGAAAAATAATCAGGTCGCATCAAGTATAAAAGCTGGCAAAATCCAACCCATTGTTACTTTAAAGAGATGACAGCTCATGTGACCTGCCACCTTCTTCTGAGAGCAGTTATGCCTGTGTTCCTTCATTAAATATTGAGCTCTATTTCCTAAAGGAAATTGAATTTATGTGCACCTAAAAGACGAAACCATCTCATGCTAATTAATTTTATGTCTGTTGCTAGACCTGTGTGACGTGGGATGGAGATAAACTTCTTTGTGTTCAGAAAGGAGAAAAAGAAGGCCGTGGATGGACCCAGTGGATTGAAGGAGACGAAATGCATTTGGTAAGGACATGCAGCATTCTCAATATAACTCTCATCTGTCTCCCTCCTCCTATTATTCGCTCATGCAGCTAAATGCAATAATCCACAGCTTGCTTGCTTATTACATTGGCTAAATCTGGAGTAATTAAGTTTTGGTGTTGTGTTTGATTTACATTTATTTATTTTAAGTAAGTATACACCCCCCTTTCTCCCAATAATTGGGACCCAAGGCAATCATTTCATGCGGCGTCATTAGTTTTGCATGCTTCTTTCATAAATAATGGCAGTCTAAATTCAGTATATATTTATATTAATTGTCCATTTCCCTGCATATTGATTTGATCTGCTTACACAAGAGAAAGTCTGTAATGGAAGTGTCCTTGGTACATGCTGTGATGTCAGCAATGTGTGAATGGAGGGCATTTTTGCATTCCAAACTATAGGCCAAAAGTGGGAAGAATCGCTATTCTTCTTTTAAGGTTAGAGTTATTTATAGCTTTGGAAATGAAAGTGAACAATTCAGTTTTGAAAGTGTCATTTTCTTTCTAACCATTATTTCTGACTTTCCTAGATACTAGCACCTAATAAAGTTTATGACTGCTTCTTTTCCAAGTAGTTTATAGCACTGATGAAAACCCTTTTCCCACAGGAGGCTACAAAACCATCTCTGAGAAGTTACTGCCTTCTAAATGCATGTTACCAGTTGTTTAGGATACTACCTTTGTAAACATCCCAAAGACTGGCTATAGGCACTGGGGTTGAAGAGACAAATGCAGCTATTAAGTCTGATATTCCTGTATTACTGATGGTAGTATTGGAAAGTGAACCAGTGTAGTTTAATGGAGTGAACCTGGGTTTGAATTATGCTCCAGCCATTATAGGGTAATACACAACTTTTTCTCCCCAATCTGTAAAACAGGGACACCAACCCTAAGGACATTCACCAGGAAATACATCCCACTGTTTTGAGTAGTAATTGTTTCCAAGCAAGTGAACTTAAGATCTCAACCATTCTCTATAAATTAATGGTGGTACTATTGAAGCAATTTAACAGTTTAAGAAAAATGATGTCAATAGTTGTGGTTCTGGGGTTATTGTTTTTTTTGCTAGTTAATACAAATAAATCCTTATGGTAGCCATTTGACAGGAGTCGATTATGTCTCGTCTTCATTTGAAAGGTTACTTGAAACTTGCCTTAAATCCTTCCATGGAGTTTGAACAATTTTGGCAACCCCCAGGAACTTTCTCTTGAGGTTTGTGGCATGACCTGTTTGCTGTGTGCCTGTGGTCTTGAGTGCCCACAATGATCTATGGCTGATGAAAAATGCATAGATCTGCATCCAGGCAGGGGACTGACTAAGTAAGTTATAGTCCCTTCTAGTTCTAAAATTATAAGATTCTGGCCTTCCAACTTGATTGATCTACAAAATTTATGAGCTGGTTCTCAAGGACTTCAGAGTAATGTACAGCATAACAAAACATCCAACATGTCCACCCTGATCTAACAAAAGAATGAAACAACCAGATAGGAGACTTGACCTTCAAATATATTTTCAGTACGTAAAACAAAGTGCCACCAAGCATAAAAAATGGACACAGGCATGAACAACTTTTAAAAGCATACCTAAAAGCTATAGAAAACAAAATGTGGTTCACCATTCAGTGGAACAACAAAAACACAGGGCCAGTTGAACATCTTGAGGGAAGGCATTCCAGGCTTCTAGGGCTGCTGCAGAGGAGGCTGTGCTGTGCGCGGATGCCGCCTTGGCAAGATGGCCCTTTAATCAGGTCCTCACCAGCTAATCTCATTGGGAGAAGGGTGCTATACAGACGAAAATGCAGGACCAGACCTTTAAAGACATTGTAGGTCAAAGTCAGAACCCCAAATTTGCCCTGGAAAAAAACATGGAGCCAGTTTAGTTGACTTAGTATTAGTGCAGTGTTCTTACTGGCTAATGCAAACTGGTAGGTTAGGTCACTGGACAATTTGAGCTGGGTAAAACCAAGGGCACAATCATTTTTTTCAAAATATTTTGTCCTTTTTGTTTACATTTTTAAGAGAAGAGGAAAGAGGGATAAAACCAAAAGATAGTCATGGAGAGAGACAAGGTGAAAGTGAGAAGATGGTGAGAAAAGCAAAAAAGTCTCAACAATATGTAATACAAAAGATGATTCTACATAACAAACTGTGGGGTAAGGTGTGTCTTGAGTCTGAAAACATTAAAGAATAGTGTGGTAAGGGATGGGTTCATGCAAGTATGCTCACTTAATTATTGCAAAGGTTTGAACTTTCAAATCACCACAAATGCAATGTTTTTAATGGAGTAGGTCTGCACAGTAACATACAGTCATCTTATCATGTCCATATATACATGTGACAAGCCCTGTTGTGAAAACATGTGTGAGCTTGATAAACCCAGCAAATCATGATTAACAGTCTCATTGTAAAACTAAAGGTTGTCAAGTTACCGGATTCAAAATTGGAGCTGCAGACCTAAGGATACTTTTCTAGAAGTAAGCTCCTTTAAATAAAATGAACTTGCTTTGGAGTAGGCCTGCTTAAGATTTCTCTCTTGGTATTGTGATTGCAATTTGATACAGTTGCTGATTTTTTGCGCCATTATAGCCCACTTGTAAAATACAAAGTAGCCATATGACTTTGCTAGAAAATTTCACATAATTAAAAAAAAAGGAATTACGTCAGATATTGTACTAGTGGCTTCCGGTGGCAGGGAACCAACAAGACCGCCTGATCCCGCAGCTCCGACTAGCCCTCTGACCCCCTCATCAAAAACAGCGATCCATCAAACAGTTTTAGCTCTAGCTACATGGAGACTGAATCGGATAACTCTGGGCAACTCAGCAAACCAAAGTTGAAGAAAATCCAAACAACACTTGCGTTCCAATCCTCATCAACAAAACCAGGCCCACATCTGACTATCAAGAGCAATATGACGTCTGGAGGTGACGAACTTACTAACTCAGAAGCCCCTGTAACATTTGCCATTCTAACAACAGCATTGTCTAACTTGGAGAAATCGATCCTGGACAACATGTTGACATTTTTAAAACCATTTTATGCGCAAATGGAAGACATGCAAAAAGAACTAAAAGAGACAAAAGCAATGGCTACAGACGTGATAAAAACCAACGCAACTGCCCAGAACGAAATTCAACAATTACAGCAATTAGAAGATGTTCTGGCAGAAAAGGCAATAAAAACGGATATGTCTCTCCATCAAAACAATCTGAAAATCAGAGGACTGAACGAGAAAATAGGGAAAAATGAAGATTTAACAGAGGTTCTGTCCAGTTGGCTGACAAAAGAGGTTCCACTGACGGGAAACCTCTCACCAATAATCACCAAGGCTTACAGAGCGGGCCCAATAGCACTTTTAAAAACAAGACCGGCGCGAGACATCATTGTACCCTTCTTAGACCTTCGTTATAGAAAATCAATACTAATTAAAGCCAGACGTAAGGGGCATCTCAATTTTAACTCAGAGAAAATCGAAATTTATCTGGACCTACCTAAAGAAGCACTTATCAAAAGAAGGGAACTCAAACCACTAACATCGAGACTTGCGAAGGAAAATATCCGATACTCATGGACCTCTCCATTAATTCTACAATTCGTACACCGTGGCAAATCATACAGAATCTCCAACAAGGAAGAAGGCTTTAAAATTCTCAGCTCCCTTGGTTTAATTACTCAAATGGAACTCTCGTGGCAATCACTGAAAAGGAAAATTCGGTCATCTACACCAATGCCTCCAGGAACACCAGATCATCAAGAAGAAGACGCTTAAAAGAACCCTATGTTGTCTGCTATTTGATTCTGTTATAAGTCTGCTCCGCCATTTTAGTAAAGCTATGTGATACATACCATTTTGTGCCATTTTCTTAGCCGGAGCTAATGTTTTAAATGTTACTTAAATCATATGTGGCTGTTCAATTCAGAAGAAAGAAACATTCTCAGGCCTTAGCCAAAAGATAGAATATTTTCTGAGCTATATTGTGATAATTGGGGGGGAAAGGGGGAAAGTCGGAAAGCGCGGGCTCATTCAGTCCACTCAGTAATACACAGACTCTCACTTTGAACTGCTGGGGCTCTGCGGATAACCAAAAGACCCAGCCTTCTGCAGGGCCAGAGCTCTGCAGAAGCTCACAAAGTCCTTTTAATTTATAAATTGTAGAAAATTCATACGGTATTTTTAAAGTTATAAAGTTTAAAAGTTGATTGGTTTAAGTGTACAGACATAATCAATGTCATCTGTGATTGTAACTTGTGCTCTATAATATTTTATTTATTTCGATCAGTTTAGGAACTAATTATTAATCATTTTGTATCTGTTAATTTCATACATCTGCAAAGAGAACTTTATTAAATCAATTATATAGTGCATATATTTAATTTCCCAAAAGTAACGAAGTATTACCTAAACCCCATCTTAATAAATTACTTCCCATAATAAATTCATAAACTCTGCAAATCATTAGCATAAAGGTACTATAGAAATACAGCATTTTTATTTTAGTGTGCCCGAATCAATTTCCCATCCAATAGATTCAGTTCACTCTACATTTTAAATTCATTGTCATCGCAGGCACTAAAACAAAAATAGAAAAGAAAAAAAATCTACTAAAAGACATAAAGTGTAATATTGTATTTTGACCTTTAACTACAAATTGCTGTTATATCTTCTGCGTCTAAAGTCAACCAAATTTGACAGAGACTAACAACTTTATTGTTATTGTGTTAGCAGCACTCTGGCATCAGACCTATTACTCCTCATACCACAGAAGACACAAAGGAGCAAGGAAAAATCATGCCATCCACGATCAAAGCACTTTCGTACAACTTGCGAGGCTTGAATAACGTCATCAAACGTAAATGAATCCAGAGTCAAATTAATAAACTAAATCCGGAAATAATATTTCTTCAGGAGACCCACATCAGAGATGACAAAACTCCTCTGTTCAAAACAAAAAAGTTTCAACACCAATGTATGGCAAAAGGATCCTCAAAATCCCGGGGTTCGGCCATACTAATAGCCAAAAATGTACACTATGTACATCAGAAATCACAAACAGACCCAAATGGGAGGTACATTTTCATACAAGGCAAGCTAAACAATATGCCAATTACGCTGGTTTCACTCTATGCTCCAAACACAGAACAGTTAACATTCCTAGAGCAAACTCTACAAGAGCTAGACAAATTCAAAGTGGGTGAACTGATCATTGGAGGGGATCTCAATCTTATTATGGACCACACAAAAGATAGATCAGCCTTCCAAACCAACACTTGTGGGAGGAAAACTACAACCACAAAACTAATGGACATACTATCCTCTCACAATCTAATAGACATCTGGAGACACCTGCATCCCACAGATAGAGATTATACATTTTTTTCTACACGCCATGGGTCATATACCCGTATTGACTATATCCTAATTTCCCCATCACTAGTGTGTCAGACTCACTCTGCTGACATAGGCACTCAACTTTGGTCAGACCACTGTTGGGTGAACTGCAGCATAAACATTAATTGCAAACAAAATCCAAAACCAATATGGACGTTAAATAATTCTTTATTTTTAAATGAAAGAGTGGTGTCAGAAACTGCACAACACATACTAAATTTCTTTTTAGATAATTCTGTAGAAGAGACTCACCCTAATGTAATTTGGGACACCATGAAACCGGTGATTCGAGGCCATTTAATTTCCATGTTATCATATCTAAAAAAAACAAAAACAGAGAGCAAGATTAGAACTCCAACATAGCATCACATTATTAGAAGGTAAACACAAACAGATAGGGAGTCCCAAGGTATATACACAAATTCTAAAGGAACGTAAAAAATTGGAAATACTGGAGATGAACCAAACACAAAAAGACATTCTGTACTCAAAGCAAAGAGCCTTTTAGGCCTTTACCCTAAAATCGTTGAAATTTTTAAGTAAATGTCTGAAACAACAACAGCAATCTCGTATAATTACAGCTCTAAAATACACTCAAGGCAAACTACACTATGACTCGAATAAAATATCTCAACTATTTCTGGAATTTTACAAAAATCTATACAGTTCGTCTATGGAGGACTCAAACCTCATAGAAATTTTTTTTCACACAAACCCTATCAGTAACACATTGAAGGAGTCACATCAAGCCCAAATGGAAGCAACTATTACACCACAGGAGGTCTTAAAGGCTATCAAGGGTTTAAAATCAGCCAAAGCCCCAGGACCAGACAGCTATACACCAGAGTTTTATAAACAATTTGCCTCAACTCTGGCTACCCCTTTGTCAAATGCATGTAATCACATACTATCTACAGGAAATCTTCCACCCTCATGGAATGAGGCTTCCATTATCGTTATTCCTAAAGAAGGAAAAGATCCGGCCCAACCGGCCTCCCTTTTAAACACTGACTTTAAGATCTTTACATCAATTCTAGCTTTCAGACTTAACTCCTTTATAACACATTATATTGATCAAGATCAGGTTGGCTTCATGCCAAAGCATGACATCACTGAAAACACACGTTAAGCACTTACAATTCTTAATCACTATACTTATAATAAAATTCCTACTGCTCTTCTGTCACTAGACCTAGAAAAGGCATTTGATTCAGTGGAGGTCAGATATCTACAACAGATGCTCCAAAAGATGGGTTTCGGAGATAAATTTCTGACTGCCATCAAGGCAATTTATGAGAAACCCACTGCCCACCTTAAAATTAACAGACAAAAATCCGACTCCTTTCACCTGAAATGGGGCACTAGGAAAGGCTGCCCGTTGTCTCCCCTCCTCTTTGCTTTGAGTATAGAACTCTTAGCTAATCTCCTGAGAAAAGACACTGACATAACAGGAATAGTGTTACATAAGAAAGAATTTAAGGTCTCGCTCTTCGCGGATGATATGTTACTCTCAAATTGCTCCAAGTGACTTCAAAACTTATATCGGACTTTAGCTTGGTATCTGGATTGAAACTCAATAGTACTAAATCACATATCTTACCACTCAATCTAGATTGCAAACTGACTGCCGAAATCAGAGCTACCCACTCATTTTCCTGGGCTACCGATTGTTTGCAATATTTAGGTATTAAACTCCCAGCAAAATTCTCAGATCTCTTTAAATTGAATCATCTCCAAACAGAGAAAGCCATACAAAAAGATCTAGAGAAGTGGCATAAGATGAACTTGGCGTGGTTATACAGGCTAAGCATAATTAAATCTTTTGTGCTGCCCAGATTTATCTTTATCTTTAGGACCATATCTATATCAATCACCCCAGCGCAACTCTGTAAATGGCAGATGATGGTCTTGAAAAAATTTTGGACATATAAACATCATAGGATCAAATGTAATACACTGTATAGAAAATCAGACAGAGGAGGTATTGGTTTCTCCAACCTACAAAACTATTAAAATGCCATTAATCTAACTCACACAATCAAATTGCTGCATGCTGACCCTAACTCAGA